AACCCTGTAATGCATATTACTGATCAAGTGTACTACTGTTAACAAAATGACTTATAAGTAGTATGTGGTAGACTTGCAGTAGAGTGTCACTCTTAATTCCCTACTTGAAGACAAGTGTCAGATAGAGATATATGACAGGATCAAAGTGTTTTGAAGATTAGAAGACTTGTGGAAGACGACAGCCTATAATCCAAATGGATGCTGGACGGTATGGTTTGCTGAAATGGATAGTGGCTAGCAATTATATCCAGTATGCACGTTTCATTCTGTTTGGGATACATTGCCAGCTGGATGTACCTGCATCTCAGAGTTGATGTTCACTATGGGACTCGAACCTAGTACCTTACACTTCAAACACCATCACTTTACCCATCTAGCTTCCCTGAGAGAACATCAAATCTAAAATGCAGGTGCATCCAACTAGAGATGAGAATCCCAAGTAGGACGAAACATACAACCTAGATTTCATTACTAGCCAATATCCACATGAGCTAATAGTGCGTATAACCTCTATATCAATAAGAAAGCAATCTGCATAGGAAGCATATAAGTCGAAACAGATTGATCATTTACAGTCTGAAACATCATTCGGGGGAAATTCAACCAACCAGTACAAAAATATACTCTTTACCAAATGAATTACATCTTCTTGAAATAAATCAATAATCGTTAATAAATTGTGGGCTAGAATAAACTAGATTCCAGCCAAGGAAGAAATCAGGCAGAAGCGCTAGAAGTGGATTGCACACACATTGAGGAAAGCACCCGATTGCGTGTCCCACCTGGAATCCTCAAGATCAAAGCAAAACAGGAAGACCAAGGAACACATGATACCGAGTAATGGAGAACGGCATGATTAGAATGAACAACAATTGGACAGAATTAGAAAGGCAAGCCTAGGATAGAGTTGGTTGGTCGGAGAATGCTGGTCGACGGCCTGTGCTCCAGTGGGGAAACAGGTATAAGTACTGGTCAATTTTATCGTCGTCCTAAATATCAATGTCACGTGCTCAAATGTTGTTTATTATTGGTTGTCTTGACTATCAATGTCACTTCAAAAGTTACTTCCTATTGGTCGTCTTAACTGTCAATGTCACAGAATTCGATGCTGTTTCCTATTCGACCAAAATGTATAAATACGCATTATCTGTAACGTTTTGTGACCAGGACACAGACCCAGATCCCTAGTCCGGTATCCTGATTCTCTTCTAGATTCGGACCTCGTAATTTCTGGATGCTTGTAGAATACATGTTCTACTTCATATCACGTCTTCCTATTTTTTACTCAATATGGGGGGCTGGGATAATTGGGTTTGAGTAGTATGTCGTGTCATCGGATCCTCGATCCTCGCTCTCGTTTTCCGACTAAGGTAAACTCGTTCAAGCATATCAAGTTGACATGTTTACGTGCAGGCGTAACAGTAAGTAAGTAAGTAGTATATAATTAATAACTTATTTCAATAAATATTACTTACCATTTTGTCTTTATTATTTTTCGTAAAACTGTTATGATTATTATTATTATTATCAGAAATATCATTTTGCTTATTGACTACATCATTATCATCGTCATGATTATTAGTGTTCATCAAAAATTGATTACGTAAACAATTTAAAAAGATGCATCGATCCGATGTGTTTGTACAAATTGTGTTCAATAATTCAATGGTTTTATTCATGAATTCTTTTTGGCGCGTTTTCTCCTTCATACTGAATGGTTGTTGCGATTGTTGCGGTTGTTTCTTGTCAAATTGATTCTCATTGATCAATGTTCCAATATTGGATGATATGATTTGATTTGTTTGTTTAAGTGTTTGAATGAAAAATTCAAATTGTTCAATTTGACTTGTTAATAATTTGGTTTGACTTAAATTATCTTCTGTTTGTACTTTGATTTGTACCTGTACATATATATAATAGACAATATCGTTAAAAAAAGGGATAGTAATAAAGAGAGACACAGAGAGAGACATGCATGCAAAAAAGTATTGGTTCTTAGATGACCTGGCTCTTTTATCGCACACGGAACAACAAATGCAAGAGAAGATGACCAGTGTAGCAGCAGGTCTCAACATACATAAAGGGGAAAGCGAAATTCCCCGATACAACACAACATGCTTAAACTAAATGACTCTCGATGGAGATGCCTTGGAGGACGTAAAAAGCTTTACATATCTGAACAGCAACATCAACGATCTGATGCAGATGTGAAGGTGCGGACCGGCGAAGTAAGGGATGCATTTCTAAAATTGAAAAATATCTGCAACTCCAAACAACTTTCAACCAAAACCAAAATCAGGGTTTTCAATACAAATGGCAAGACAGTTCTACTGTATGGAGCGGAAACTTGAAGAACTACCAAAGCCATCATTCACAAAATACAAGTTTTCACTAAGAGTTGTCAACACAGAATACTAGGATCCTTTGACCAGACACCATCAGCAACAACGTACTGTGGGAGAGAACAAACCAGATTCCATTGGATGAGGAAATCATGAAGAAGTGGTGGAAGTGGATAGGACACACACTGAGAAAAGGACGCAACTGTCTCACAAGACATTCTCTCACTTGCAAGCTTCAAGATCAAAGAAAAAGAGGTAGGCCAAGGAACACATTACGCCGAGAAATAGAGAAAGACATGAAAAGAATGAACAAACATTGGACAGAACTGGAAAGGAAGGCACAGGACAAAGTTCGTTGGTTGGAGAAAACTGGTGGGCGGCATATGCCTGATTTGGGGTAACAAAAGTGAGTAAAAAAACAAAATAGAGTATAATACTTTTGATTATATTCTTGGCTAACCAGCAAGCCTGCTGCACATGCACACCGCTGCTTTTTAAGCAACACAAGAATTCTCTCAAAAGCCGATTTTGCGATCTCTCCTGCCCCATACGGGAACGCACATGTTGTCTAGATTGGTTTGCAGACGATTGGACGTCCAAAAAGCACGCATACGAGCAGTGGCCCTCGTTCGGGCACTTATGAATCAACCTGATCCCTCCGTCTGGCCTCCAACTACCTTGTGCTGATACAATCGATCGGAGCCCCCAAAATCCACATGAAGCTAAAGATCGAGTTCATCCCCCAAGGTCAGCCGGAACGTACACCATTCCATGGGGTAGATGTCATGAACTCGAACGAGTGCAAGCACTCAGCCAAGCAGGGTTAATCCCACTACATAACTGGGCAGACATCGTTGGCGTCCAGTACCCTTTAGCACCGGATCACATAAACCATTTAGAGACCCTTGTTTAAGGGGCCTCGACGCCAGTAAATAACACAATACTTTTGAAGAAAGAGGAAAAGTGCAAACAAACCAAACTGCCATAATCCAACTTACTTCAGAATTTGTTACACAACGTATCATATTTTCCATATAAATAACATCAGCTAAATGTGGCTTTAACATGGCTTCAAATTGTTTTAATTTATTTTCCGTAATTAATTGGCGCTCTTTTTCAATGGATTCAATATTACCAACGGATTCTTCTTCAAACAATTGAATTGTTTTAGTTAATTGATTTAATTGAGTAGAGTATTTTTTAGCTTCAGTAGTTGCAAAATTACCTCCATCAGTAAAAAGCCTGTTGATTGTGTAATAAGTTAGGATAATAATGATAATAATTTTCATTGTAAGGTTGTCGAGATTGTTAAGTTTTATTGAAGACATGAAGAGATCAATGTTAGACCGCCATTAGAAACTTGGATGCACTGAACTGGTTACAGTTAGCTATGAACAGCATTGAATACTGGCTCAATGGCCTAGAGATTAAGAGCTGGAGCGCGCGAGACGGAAGCTGTTGGGTTTAATTCCCTGGTGTGAAGGTCATGGATTTACACTGTTGATGTGTACAATACTAGGACAAGATGGCCGTCCAATGCTTCCAGGTTTCTGATATTGGTCTAACACTAATCTATTCATGATATTAATCAATAATACTAATTATGATAGAGATAGTGTGGTGTGAGCTACTTATAAGTAGTATATGACGTGAGTGTCAATGTAATGTCTGGCAGCAGAAGATGGGGGGAAGATCAAGAAAGGAAGAGTTAGAAGAACACAATGGAATTTGAATGAAACGCATGAATAGTGACAATGGATTGATGTTTTGCAACAGGAACACTCCAGTTCGATATGATGAACTGATATTTTGCAAATTAACGATGTATACGATATGGTTTTCCGATTTTACTGAGTAACTGTGTAATTTTCGCTAAATACAGTTCGGTTGCCCTCACCTGTGTTCTCCTTCACTACAATAGGATTAATAATCCAATCAAGATATATCAGGAACTATTCTTAGCTAGATCAATCATTATAAACCTGAGAGTATTGAAAGGTGATCTCATGCCAGAATAGAACACTTACAATATTGCTAGGCGATTTCAACAGTAAAATCATTATTGAAATTATTATTTCTGTTGTGTTATTCCACCTTGTTATGTGTATGTCTATTGATCGAGTCACTGTGAATTCATGTACGGGCATAATCGAAATAGGTACTTTTATAAGTGCTCATTCTCTTGAACCGTTGACCCAAAGTCAATTTACGAATTAGTAAGGCAACGTTAAGAGATGCAGTCCGATGGTAGCCATTCACTAACAATAGGTTTCTACACTAATGTGTCCTACGAAAATTACTGATTAATCGAGAGCCTTGAAGCTCATATTTCATCTACGGTGATAGTTTTTGTTGGGGATGTTAGAGCCCCAAAATTCGCTTGATAAATGCCTTATTTTGGTTTTCACGTTTGTGAGCATAGGCTGATCAGTTGACCTTGAGATTTCATTTCAAACCAGGAAAATCCATGGCTGTGTGATTGGATGTTGTGTATTTTAGTGTGCTATTTTCTTGACTGTCCCAAGGAAGTCGTTTCTATGATGTATAAATAAACAAGAGTTGTATGCTTGATTGTACTGTGATTGCTCGGTGTTTGTAGAATATACTTTCTACGCTTACCAAGACTTCTGTTTTACAGTTTGGGATTCAAGGTATCCTACCTGGACGCTGGCAATTTTCTCGTTCGCGTTTATCGACTAAGGTGAAATTCAATCTCACTTAGTGCTTAGCGTTATAGGAGAATCTTTGAAGTTTCAGTGATGTATTGTTACGAGCAAAGATCAATGATGTTTGAACTTGTTCAACTTTAAGAGGTCCACTTTAAAACCAACGAAACCAGTTTGAGGCTTAAGTGTTTCTGGCTAGATTTCATGTAGATTTGTGATGTGGTAATATTAGAAGTCCTGAATTAGAATGAAACAACAGTACTCCGCTTCTTAGCTTTCACTGATTGTCCAGAAGACATCAAATCGTTATATATATATAGGGAGGCCCAGGACAGAGTAGACTGCAGAATACTGGTCAGTGGTGCAAGGTCCGCTGACTAGATACACTCAGAAACAACCTACTGTGGGAAAAAGCAAACCAGATTCTACATGGAAAATAATGTATCGAAAAGCCCTCTCAAGGTGGATAGGATACACTTTGCGGAAATCACCCATCTGCATCAAAGTCTTGATTTGGAATCCTCAAGGCCAAATGAAAATAAGTAGACCATAGAATGCACTGTGCTAAGAATTAGAGAGAAACATGAAAAGAATGAATGGGAATTGGGAAGAACTTGAAAGGAGCGTACAAGAAGGAATTGGTTGGTTTAATTCTTATAGAAGAAAAGACGACCAGTGTAGCAGCAACCTCAGCAGCAGTAGGTCTCAATATACATAAAGGGAAAAGTAAGATTCTACGAGACAACGCAACATGCACCAACAAAATCACTTTTGATGTGCACGCCTTACAAGATGTTACAACTTTTACATATCTTGGCAGCATCATCGACAACCAAGGTGGATCTGATGCAGATGTGAGGGTGCGGATCGGCAAAGCGAGGGCTGCATTTCTACAGTTGAAAAATATCTGCAACTCCAAAAAACTTTCAACCAAAACCAAAATAAGGATTTTCAATACAAATGTGAAGACAGTTTTACTGTATGGAGCGGAAACATGGAGAACTACCAAAGCCATCATTCAGAAGATACAAGTGTTTATTAACAGCTGTCTACTCAAAATACTTCTGATTCGTTGTCCAGACACGATCAGCAACAACGAACTGTGGGAGAGAACAAACCAGATTCCAGTGGAGGAGGAAATCAGGAAGAAGTGGTGGAAGTGGATAGGACACACACTACGAAAAGCACCTAACTGCATCATAAGACAAGTCTTCACATGGAACCCTCAAGGTAAAAGGAAAAGAGGAAGGTCAAGGAACACATTACACCGAGAAATAGAGAAAGATATGAGAAGAATGAACAAACATTGGACAGAACTGGAAAGAGAAACCCAGGACAGAGTTGGTTGGAGAAAACTGGTGGGCGGTGTGTGCTCTATTGGGGGTAACAGGCGTAAGTAAGTAAGTAATTCTTGCAGACGGTTTATGCCTCACGATGGTCATATGCATATATTGGTAAATGATGACAGAGATGACCGGTATGTTAAGTAAACGTTCAAATAATTTCTTCGTCAATATCATAACAATAATATGAATATTAAATAATAATTAAATCAATTAAAATCTCTTACTCTAATGATTCAATTAATTTTAAATTAGAATTATTCACAGTTTGTATTTGATTTTCAATATCTTGTCGAAATAATTTCAATGCTTGACGTACACGTTCCGTGTGGGAATTAGCCAAATGTTCAACACGTTTACGTAATAATAGGAGTCTTGATGAAATTCACATGAGTAAGAGAGTGAGAGAGAGAGAGCAAGGAGAAATTATTGAACATTGATTCAATGAACTTTATTATTTTTATTTATACATGAAAACATTTTAATTGAATTTTAAAAAATAATTTTAGAATACATTAAGCGTTGTAAAAAGGTTTTTGAACTTGTGTTATACCACATGGTGCGAGCTACTTATAAGTAGTATATGACGTGAGTGTCAACGTAATGTCTGGCAGCAGAAGATGTGGGGGAAGATCAAGAAAGGAAGAGTTAGAAGAACACAATGGAATTTGTATGAAATAGCATGAATAATGACAATGGATTGATGTTTTGCAACAGGAATAGTCCAGTTCGATATGATGGATTGATATTTTGCAAATGACCGATTTACGATATGGATTTCCTATTTTACTGAGTAACTCTGTAATTTTCATTAAATACATTCCGATTGCCCCACCTGTGTTCTCGTTCACTACAATACCATTTGGTGCCCGACAGTCGAAGTTGACATGGATTGTTTATAGACATAAGTTTGGCATGTCGAGAAATAATGTAAAGAGTTGTTTTGACACGTTGATATCATGATTCAGTCATTGTTAGACCACTATTAGAAACCTGGAAGCACTGGAAAACTGTCTGGATATAGTATGGGACTGAATAGCAATGCTCATCCACTACCTTCAGCACCCGGGCATCGAGCCTAGGACCCTTGATCTTGCGTGAGAACGCCTAATCTCTGGACCACCGAGCCGGCATTCGACCTGTGTTAATATATGACTTTAATAAACCTAAGGATTTTCGCGTACCTCAACCATTGCGTTAAGTAGTTACTGATTACACTCAACAGCATTGAACTGCATTGGTAACGTCTTCTTCACACTAGAACTCCGAGACTTTCCTCATGAAGCTAGTCATGAACGATTCATGGTTTCGATCCTAAACAACAATCTCCTTAACTCTGTAATAAAAAATTCATACAATGTGCTCACTATAACTTCGATGCTTATTGGTTTGGAAGTATACTTTAATTTAATATCAGAAAAAATCCATACACTAGAACTGTATCCAATAAATAACGCATTCAATCAGCCGTTATAAACAATGAAGTCCGCATTTGCAACTCATCAACTATTTGTTTCTGTTAAATTCTAAATCAGATAAAATGTAAGCCATATGTCCTGAATTTCACGACGAGTATCATTCTATCTGTTCTGTGAAAATTCGTAACAATGACTATTTCACGAGAATCCATAAAAGATGCACAACAGACTTGAACTAAGAAGGTTGATCAAAATTTTAATTCTGAATATCAAAGATCAGAATGGTTGGAGCCATGAAAAATTAAATTTAGGAGAAGTGGAGGAATACTCTAATTAAGTAAAGGGATGGGTAAGTAAGTGCATGAGTAGATAAGTAAGTAAGTAAGTAAGTGTATAAGTAAGTAAGGAAGTAAGTAAGTAAGTAGTTAAGTTAGTGCATAAGTAAGTAAGTAAGTAACTTCATAAGTAAGTAAGTAAGGAAGGAAGGAAGGAAGTGCATAAGTTAGTGCATATGTAGGTAAGTAAGTAAGTAAGTAAGAAATTAAGTAAGTAAGCAAGCAAGTAAATAAGTAAGTAACTAAGTAAGTGAGTAAGTAAGTAATTAAGTAAGTAAGTGCATAAGTAAGTAGGAAAGTAAGTGAGTAGGTTAGTAAGTAAGTAAGTAAGTAAGTAGGTAAGTAAGTGAGTAAGTTAGTAAGTGTATAAGTAAGTAAGTAAGTAATTAAGTAAGTATATAAGTAAGGAAGTGAGTGAGTAAGTAAGTGCATAAGTAAGTAAGTGAGTAAGTAATTAAGTAATCTAGCTATCTACCTATAAAACTTATCACATGATATATATAACCGCTGATACAAATCCAACCGATATTACCTTATTTCATGTAATATTTACTTCAGCAAATTTCCTTAACAAAGTCAGTCAGTCAGTCAGTTGCAACGTAGAACTTCGTACGTGTGTACATAAGTTCATGTTGCCATACCACATTATTAGCACAGAGATGCAAATGTCAAATCAAATCCCATAGTGATAAAGATAGTAGAGGTATTAATGTTATAATAAAGAAGACTAGGGTTTAAGATATTATTCAAAAAATATAATTCAGTGAGATAAGGTTAGAAAGAAAAAGGTAGAGGTGCTGGCTAATCCAGAACATTAGGATTTGAGAGAGCTCAAAGAGTGGATGCACCTGCGCCATTGCAAACGATTCTCAGCCATGTCGTTCAAGGTCTCTAACCATTGATGACTTTCGTCTCGCGGACCCCAACCAGGTAGTCTACATCTACCAACATGACTCAGTCCACTTGTCAGTGACTTCATGGATTTCTGCCATGTTTTGGTCTGGCCGCCCCTAGCTTTCTTCCAACCTACTCCTACACCACAAAACATAGCTCGTCGAGGCAGTCGGTGGTTAGCCATACGTAACACATGTCCCAACCACCTCAACTGATGAAGTTTCACCACTTCATCGATTGATCTGCCATCCTTACCTAGTACTCGTTACCTAATGACAGCATTGCTTACTCGGCTGTCCCACGATATACGAGCAATGCTTCTTAAACATCTATGATCGAATACTAGTAACCTACGAACATCTTCTACTCTTAACGGCCATGTTTCACAGCCATATAAGAGAACGGAACGAACTGCTGCACAGTACACCCGCCCTTTGGTTAGCGAACGGATATCACGCCTACGCCATAAGTGACGCAGGTTGGCAAAAGCCAATCGAGCTTTCTGTATCCGAGCTGAGATTTCGTCAGTCACCAGACCGTCAGCACTGATGAGACTCCCCAGATAAGTGAAGTGATCAACACGCTCGACTACTTCACTCCCTATCACTAGTTCAGGTGCCAATCCAACCCAGTTTTGAAGCAACATTTTGCATTTCGAGGGGGAAAACCGCATCCCGAACATGCTCGCATTGTTGCTTATGGTAGTCAGAAGACTCTGCATTTTGTCAGCGTCTTCACCGAATAGAACTATGTCATCGGCATATTCTAGATCAGTAAGCGACGTTCCTGGTAGAAGGTCAACCCCTGAAAAATCTGACGAGCTTAATGTTAACTCTAAGAGGATGTCTACGACAAAGTTGAACAAGAATGGAGAGAGTGGACAGCCCTGACGGACACCACTTGATGTAGAGAATTCAGATGACAGTTCGCCATATGCTCTCACCCGACCAGTGGTGTTCGAGTAGAGTGCTTGTATAAGGTTAATGTACTTCTTTGGTACACCTTTTAATGACAGACACTGCCACAGAACCTCACGATCCACAGAGTCGAATGCCGCCTTAAGGTCCAGGAACACGACTATTGTCGAACGTCTAAATGTGTGTCTGTGTTCCAGGACCTGTCATAGTGTGAAAATGTGGTCTATACAACCACGTCCAGGTCGAAAACCAGCCTGGTTTTCTCGAGTCTGCTCTTCGCGAGCTCTAGTTAGACGTCTAAGTATAATCGAGGCTAACAATTTAGAAACTATATTAGTTAAACTTATTCCCCTGTGATTGTCACAAGAAGACTTCTGTCCTTTCTTGTAGATTGGGACAATTAGCGACTGAGACCAGTCAGATGGGATCACGTCCGACCGAAGCTGCCACCTTGACGTGGTGATCGGGCTTGCCTATCGTGATGACCCAACCGAGCTATACTGGCTGGAACACATGTTCCTGCAGGTCCTACCATGCCAGGCAGGTCGATTGGAGAACGATGAGACTAAAAACAGCTACCCAAGGTCTGAGGGCGAAGTCGTACTGCTGACTGACTGCAGAGGGGTGTGACAGCAGTAAGGTGTTTCCCTCGGACAACCAGCATCTGCAGCGATGCTGCCTTCTCACAAGGAAGGAAGGGTTAGAAAAGGTTGGCCCTAAAAGTGTCACACCTCCCCTAACTCATGGATTTCCGTCTCCTTGGGTAAGGGTGCCAACTAAGGGCCTTTAGGAACGGAGCTAATCCTCTAAATACCTCTCATAAAAAGGCCGTGTGTGACCGGCCTCAAGCAGTTGTCCCTTGGACTCTGCGGTCACGCACCAACACTAATCCATCTTCCTTTTCAGGTTCGTCAAGAAACAACCTTCCACGGTGTGGGCAGCCGGGAAGTGACAACCGCCCTTATACCCGTAACAGCACGCGAGACCAAGTCGGTCTCAGTCAAATCCTTCCTACACCCCCTAATGTCTCTCTTATCTCTACGACTAACTCTACTCACACTCCCTTTTCTCACTGCACCGCTAATGCAGACGAAGCGAGATCACGAAACGTCGTTCCTGGTCTCCTTAAAACCCGTTCCAAACTACATGTTGGAGCATTCAATGTACAGACATTGTGTCAAATAGGGCAACAGGCATCATTAGCTAGGACTTTAGAATCTCGTTCCATCGATGTGTGCTGCGTCTCGGAAACGCGCATACAGGATCCGAGTAGCATCACTCATTTGACCTCACCATGTCAAGATAAAGAAGCAGCTCGATTTACCCTTCGTGTATCCGGTAGCCCTGATGCTGCTTCTAGGGGCCTCGCCGGTGTAGGTATAGCATTGAGTCGTAGGGCAGAACAATCTCTCCTTGACTTGATCCCTGTAGATAGTCGGTTGTGCGCCGTCCGACTGAACGGGACAGTAAGGACTCGGAAAGATAGGGACACTCGCCGTTGCCCCTTCGTCATATCAGCCTACGCCCCCACTGACTGCAGCCCAGATGATGTAAAAGATGAGTTTTACAGAAAGCTTTCGGACCTCCTCCAAAAAGTTAAGAGCTCTGATACAGTTATAATGGCTGGTGACTTCAATGCACAAGTAGGTAGACTAAGTGAAAATGAAAGACACCTAGGTGGATGTTACGGTCTCGCGGCTCAAAGAACAGACAATGGCGACCGTCTGTTGCAACTGTGCTCAGATAACCGCCTATTTCCAGCAAACACTAATTTTAAGCATAAGGAAAAACACCTTTTGACCTGGCGACCCCCGAAGGAAAAGAAAATTAGTAATCGGAAACTGGAAGTAATCAGTGTTCAACAATCAACATTTTATTACCAGTCACCTTTTTTTCAATAAACTGCCAACCTTCGAGATATCTCACTTCATGCTCTTTTGCACCTCGTGATGTTATAAGTCGTATAAACCTTTTATCTATTTACTTGAATGGATTCGGCGATTAACAGACATAATTAACGTGCTAAAAACAACTAGAAAGATGTCATTTTTTAAAATATTTCGATGTCAGGTGACGCCAATAACATTCAAACAAGCCGCCTAGTATCGACTGTAATTATTAGTTTCAACTATCCTGCTTCAAAAATTAATCATAAACCATTGAAAATTTAATATAAAAAAATTAAATTTGTTATACTGAATCATATTTGAATTTTTAAAAATTTACCGCTAATTCATTGAATGTACTTTTCTTTGAATTTCGATACTCTCTTTTTACACATTTGAAATCATCAATCAATCATTGTTAGACCACCATTAGAATCCTGGAAGCACTGGACGGCCGTTTCGTCCTAGTGTGGGACTCCTCGCAGGATTCGGACCTGGGACCTTCGGCATTGTAGGCGAACGCCTTACCATCGGACCACCGGGTCGGCATTCAACGGTGTTAATGTCTAACTCTGATTGATCTAGGGTTTTTGCGCGACCTCACCCATTTGCCTTTTTGGTAGTTACTGCCTACACCCGACAGGGTTGAACTCCACTGGTTACGTCTTCGCAACTAGAACTCCGAGAATTTCCTCACGAAGCTAGTCATCACTAGTGAGCACTGTTACGATATTTTGGGGCACAGTTTTGGAGGTTTGCGTTTTTACACATTTGAAATCATCAATCAATCATTGATTGACCACCATTCGAAACCTGGAAGCACTGAAAGACGGCCGTTTCGTCCTGGTATGGGACTCCTCAGTGGCAGTGTGCATCCACGACCCCTGCTCCTCGCAGGATTCGAACCCAGGACCTTTGGCATTGTGGGCGAACGCCTTACCACCGGACCACTGGGCCGGCATCCAACGGTGTTAATGTCTAACTCTTTTTTTTCATTAAAACAGAAACACGCACAAATCAATTCGAATCGTTAGTTAGTTACTTAGTTACTACTTACATTGAAGATTTCGTGGCTTTATTCAATGTTGAATTGATTGCGTTTTGAATTGCCGCATTCATTTGTTCTTCCGACTTATTCAATGTTTCAATTAATGTTTTCAGCGAATTACTTTTCATTTCATTCAATATTAAATTGACTGATGTGACATGTCGTTCAATACGGGTTTGATGTAGGGCTAATTCAGTTAATCGTACATTTGCTACATCCTATAGAAATATGTAAAAAAATGAATTTTTGTTTAAAATGACAATGTAATGTGGTAATTTCAACATGGTGATCTAATAATGAGTGATTGATTGATTTCAGTGTGTATAGAACAGTAATCTCTATAACTCTAATTTAGAAAATCGTACAATGTGCTCACCAGTGACAAGTTTCATGAGCGAATCCTCCTAGTTCTAGTGATAAGACGTGACCAGCGGAGTTCAGCCCTGTCGGGTGTATACTGTAACTGCCGAAGACAAATAGGTGAGGTCGCGCAAGATCTCTAGATTGATCAGATTTAGACATTACCACCGTTCGACGCCGGTACAGTGGTCAGGGGGTTAAGAAATCCCGAGCAAGACTGACGGTGCTGGGTTTGAATCCTGCGAAGTGCAGAAGTCGTAGATGAACACTGTCAGTGATGAGTAGTCCTATTCCAGAACGATACGGCCTTCCAGTGCTTCTAGGTTTCTATTGGTGGTCTAACAATGATTGGTTGATAATCTCAATGTGTAAACCCTCACTTATATGCCAGTTTATTTACAAAAAATATGTTTACACCTAATCTGAAGATATATTTACATTTACAATACGGGTAGGTTATTGACTATCACCTTTTATATCTGTTCTGGTCTTCAATACCTTCTGATTATGCCATACATTTCGATCTCTTGACATTGTTCTATCTGGTAGTAACGTTTAGGCGACTCTCCGACGAACACTACTTAAATGCCACCTTGTGAGTAGTAGCATGCATCATACTAAGTTTATATTATGCTGTGGTAGACATGAGCCTCTGTTTAACCTTATATATTTTTCTCTCTATATCCTATTCACAGTCAGTTTTAGCTTGTGTACGTATAACTATAGTTTTCTCCACTTTCCGAGGTGCAGCCTAGTCCCGGTATGTTTGAATTCAAACCTACGTAATTCACTTTTGAGTTCAAGGTAAGCGATAGAGAAGAGCTTATAGATAGCGAACCAATAAGAGGTTATCTTTTATTGGATCAAGGTTAAATCTGCCGACCAATCAGTGTGGTTGGTCAAGTCCAGGATGGTAGTTTATTAACGGGATTCACAACAGGCAAAGTTACGGTTCTGAGTCAATGGTATTCAGCGCCTTCGATCATTGGTCAATAATACCATTATCAACCTCAACTAAGTAGCCTACACTTATCTGCATAACTTAGACCGGCAGTTAATGAGTTCATCAACTTATGACACATCTTAGTTTGGACATCCTCTAGCTTTCTTTCAATCTACTCTTGCATCAGTTAGTTTGGTAAGTCAAAATAAGCGGTAACTGAGTTCACATGAAAAAAATTTCAACCGCACTCAAAGACCGATTCAGTCAAATCCCACTGTATTTACCAATTCACATGTAACTGTGGAGAAAGTTATTTGGGTAGGACAGATCGCCGATTGGAAGACAGGAAAGGGGAACATATTCCAAAATGGCTAATCAAATCCATGATTCATCAACCTAGCCCATCATCTCAAAAGCGATCAAGAAACCCAGTTTTTTCCATTGCAAAACATCTAATGATGAGTGGTCATCAAACTGACCCAAAATCAGCCTTTCAGAGTTGTGACATGTCATCAAAACCCACGCACACTGAAAATACTCGAAGCTATCGTGAATGGGGGGAAAAGGGCAACTTTATGTGTTCAAAAACAACTGAGTGATGAGCGTTGTTTTCCATCGTGGTTCTAGTGAGTGAATGTCATGCTAAATAAGAAATTTTGACTTTATCTTCAAAACTGTATTTACACAAATAACATGTTGCTTGTATGTGACTGACGAGAAAGCACGAAATGGTACTATCTCACAAAATATGTCTTCTCATTTCTCTATTCAAATTTATCAAAGGGAACCACTGTTTTTGGATAGCTTTTAGGCAAAAAAGGAGAATCGCTGCTGATTATCAGACGGACATAGGGTTGTGAAGATTGCTGGGCTTCATAGAAATCATGGATCGATCAATGTTAGAATATCATTAGAAACCTGAAAACATCATTGGTTGGCCGTTTCGTATTAGTATGAAATTCATCAGCAGTGCACACTCACGATGCTTGCACGCAAGTATCGAACCCAGGACCTTCGGTCTCGATCTCAAACGCTTAACCTCTAGATCACTGAGCCGGAATCCGACAGCACTAATGTCTAACTTTAGTCAATCTACGATCTCGCACAATTTCATCCACTGTCTTCTTTGAGCACTACTTCACACCAGATAGGGTTGAACTCCACCGAATACTACTTCTTACAAATGCTTACTGGAAACTAGCTATATGAGGAGATTCCTTCAAATTCTAGTGCGAAGTCATGACCAGTGGAGTTCAACTATGTGAGTCAGTTACCTACCGAAGACCATATTTGAGTTTGTGCAATGCCTTGGATTGATTCAAGTTAGACATTAACAACTGAGTCAATTTGGTCTAACAACGTCGTGTTTTTGAAGCGTCCACAAATTTTCACTGTATGATTGAGTCTTTGTGTTTGTGATTTTCTCCGTAGAAATTAAAATGGTTCCCATTTTTAAAAATATAATTCGATTGTAAAATTTATTGAGTTCGATTATAGTGAAAATTACAGAGTTACTCAGTAAAATAGTAAAACCATATCGTAAATCGTTAATTTGCAAAATATCAGTTCATCATATCTAACTGGACTGTTCGTGTTGCAAAACATCAATCCATTGTCTGACAGTTCACTGTTCATGGGTTTCATACTAATTCCATTGTGTTTTACCTCTTCCTTTCTTCATCTTCCCCCATCTTCTGCTGCCATCCATTATGTTGACACTCACGTCATATACAACTTATAAGTAGCTCGCACCACAGAACTATCTGGTGGCGCGAACGAGAATGAGTAAGATAGAGTTCAAGCACGAAACTTATTGATCAGAAACAAAGTCATTACATAACTTGGTAAGAACTTATTATTTGTATCCTATGCAATCATGGTTTTGAGTGTATTATTTATTACACTATTCAGTGTTCAAACTTTAATCATGACAATTTCTATAAAACAATCGGAACCTTGTGTTTGAAACTAATGTTTATCTGATCTCAGGATTGAAACTTTATAGTAAACAAACCACATATCTGAGGTGTACTACTGACAAATACTTTTGTAAAATACTTAATACGGATACCGATCATGCTGTTAGGAGGAGTTCTAGTGAGAAGACCTGAAAAACGGAGTTCAACCCTGTCAAGTGTAGGCAGTAACCGCTGAAGACAATTGGGTGAAGTGGCGCAAATTTCCCAGATTGACCAGAGTTAGACATTAATACCAATGGATGCCGATTCAGCGATCAGCGGTTAGGCGTTCGAGTGCAAGATCGAAGGTCATGGATCCGAATCCTGCGATTAGCAGGAGTTACGGATACACACAACCACTGATGAGTCCCATACCGGGACGAAACTTACATCAACCGGTGCTTCTAGGTTTCTAATAGTGATCTGACATTGACCAATTCATGACTTCAAAAAAGTAACTGAACAATCTCTATAACTCTATAATGTAAAAACAAATTTATCATTTCGTCACAGAATTTCAGTTAAAAGAAGACTGGAATCATTTTCTCACTTCACTTTCAAAGTGAACTTACTTCTTTCACTCGACGAATGCGTGGTTCATGCAATTTGAGTTGCAATTGATATTCATTGTTTATTTCAGTTTTTTTAACAATCACTTCTTCTTTTGTAGTTAATATTGTTGTATTCTTCCACAATTCCAAATATTCTAATAGTTTCTATTAAGATATTAATAATAATTATTATTATTATACCAGAAAATCAACTTGACTATCTCTTGTCACGGAAAAAATAATCGATACAGCCAGCCAATCAGGAGTGGCCGAAAGAGAAGGTCATTTGATGACCATCTGAAATGTCTGCATGTACGAATTCACATTATTAGTCGATGAGTGGATTCACTTTCTAAGGGGATCATATAAAAATTTATATTATTCGGTAGACAAATAGACATTTTTCTGCTGCTCTCTCCTTCTCGCTCGAGTAGTCACATTGGGGGGTCGGTGAATATCACGTTCAGATCTTGGACATCGCAATCAACATATTTTTCACAGTCTTCGAATAGAATATAATGGAAAGAACTTCCCTATGACTCGATATAATCGATATAATCTGGATCAAGTTACTTATAAATATCTGATTCCTGACGGTAAATTAACAACGAAACAATAATTTACTTAACAAAAATTATCTCAGTCCTTATATCGAACAGAATTCTGCTACATCTGATCAATCTGAAATCAATCAAATGGTAAACTCATGAGACTAGCCAGGATTCAGCTTTATTTCCTAAGGAATGGGCGATACACAATTGGTTGAACATGTGTCTTAAACTACTGCTGCTCGACATGGTAGAACCTACAGGAACATATGTTCCAGCCAATATACAGCTCGGTCGGGCCATCATGATAGGCAAGCCCGACTACCACGTATCAAGGAAGCGGCTAAGGTCGGCATAAAAGTTGACAGATATATTTCTCGACTCAGTCGAATCAAAAAAGCATTCTTGTCACTCAAGGCGTTAGTTGCTCTGTTTTGACTCAGTCCACTCGTCAATGACTTCATGGATTTCTGCCATGTTTTTGTTTGGCCACCCCGTAACTTTCTTCCAACCAATTCCTACACTACAAAACAAAGCTCGTCGAGGCGGTCGGTGGTTACCCATACGTAACGCATGTCCCAACCACATCAACTGGTGAAGTTTCAATACTTCACCGATTGATCTGCCATCCTTACCTCGTAATCATTTTCTAAAAACAGCATTGCTCACTCGGGTGTCTCACGATATACGAGCAATGCTTCGAAGACATCTATGATCGAAAACCAGTAACCTACGAATATCTTCTACTCTCACTGGCCATGTTTCACAGTCATAAAGTAAGACGGAGCGAACCGGTGCACAGTAAACTCGTCCTTTAGTCAGCCAACAGATATCTCGCCTACGCCATAAGTGACGCAGGTTGACAAAAGCCAATCGAGCCTTCTGTATCCGCCTTGAGATTTCATCAGTCACCAGACCATCAGCACTGATGAGACGCCCCAGATACATGAAGCGAGCGATCAACACGCTCAACTACTTCACTCCCTATTACAATTATAAAAA